TATAATCGGCAAAAATTACGCCAATTAGTATAACGAAAATCACGTGGTCCAATACTTTTGACCGGGAAGTGTATATAATATATGATAAAATAATTATTTATCAAAATAAGGAATTCTTTTCTAATCTCTACTATATTACCTTTCTTATCATTGTAACATACACTCATATAAATACTTATGTATTTATGATTGTATCAAATATTATTGCATTTAATCAACCCTTTTTCTCACTATTCTTTAGTTAACCTGATAGTTTAGTTCATTCCTGTATATAAAGTGAATAGTCCAAATATTACAAATACAAAGACTTTTTCTAAGTGATTGAATATATTAGAATTGATATTAGATATCCAGACTAATTTAAAGGTACTGTAATTAACAAATTACTATAATGATTAGATTTTCATAGTATTGACACATAACTTTGAATTCTAGTAAGCTGCTATTAGTATTCACTCTCTCAATGTTAAAAGTTCTATCAACAAGTACTTATGTGAGTGCAATATTGCAAACCTGATATTTTCCTTTTCAAAGATGTAAATAGCATTTCTTAAAACACTAAGCAAGTCTATATGTTGATCAGAATTATAGTTACTATACATATTATTGAATCTTATTCCATCCTATCTCATTTTAAATCTATATTAAATCTCTATATTATATTTAAAATCCTTTATCCTATATCTAAAAATCCCAATTCTAATTCAAATTCCATTTAAAATAATTATCAAGTAATCTCATTAAGTTCTAATTATTAGTTATAATAATTTTTTTTAAGGAATGAGAATTGGAATGGAATAGGAATAGTATGGTAATAAGTATACAGATGCTTTGGTATTTTGTTGATAGACAGTACTTTAAGATATTAGGTAAGATATTTCACAAGAGTAAGAGTATAGTGAGAATATATTGAAGGTGTTATTTTGATTGTTTAACAGATTTGGGTTGTAGCAGAAATTGTAACTATAAGAGTTCTATAGTATGTCTTATTTTCTCTTTAAAAGACCTTTCTTATTCTCAATATCTATAGATATTTTTATTCAACTACGTAATTATCATAAGTGTCAAATTGAATTTTGAGAATATCAATTTTATATTCTTAATACAGTTAAGTTGAATTTCAATTCAATTGAATTTATACTCTCTATAAACAGACAGTATTGCTTTAAATAATATCATAATTTGTTTTACAATGTATTTATTCTTCCTGATATTATTATCAAGTTTTCTCCAATTTGAATTTTTTCAAACCTTTGCACGTGCTCTTACATTAACTAGAATCTGGAGCAGTTTTGGCAAATAACCTTAAAATGGCATCAATGATCTCAAATGAAATCATTTTATTAGAAATTCAAGTCAAAATTACCAAGGTCAATTTGAAAAAATAGTAAATGATCTTATAATCTGCCATAAATTTTCTGAAGAGGTTCCGGATGATGAATGGTGAATTGTAGTTGTAATATGAGTTCAGCAAGAATAGGAAAGTTCAATTCTGCAACTATAACATGCTTGATGATATGGATGCAACTAAGGAACTCATCACGAACTTTATTAGTTGCAGCATGTGAAGATGATGGAATTCCATCTGTTAAATGGTGGCAAGCTCACTTTCAGATTTTATAGTTGTGGCAGATAAATAAGGAGTTATTAAGTGTTTGAAGATTTCTTCCTATATGTTCATAACGTGCTGTGCTAATGTCAAGATCTTCTGTCATTCATCAATTTTCTAAGAGAATCTTAAGGAGGTTTAATTTGACGATTTTCAAAATATGCTTTGGGAAAAAATAATAAGAAAAACGATTGGTTAGTGTATAATTGTTAGGATGTGCAAAATAATTTTTTTTATTTTTTTTATTTATTTTAGTAATTTAGAAAATTCGTATTTACATGAGTTATGATGCTCTGTTAAATGCTTGCATGGTTCGATATACTTGTGTTGACTTTCTGAGCCATAAATTCGCCTTCTGAGATTCTTATCATCAAATCTGTATTGTTTCCCGACGGGTCTTTAACCATTATTAAAGACTGAACTGATCACTCTATTAATTCTCCTGAGTCAAGACGTGGTCAACTTGGAGTTGCCCTCACTATCAAAAAATTTATCGTTCTAACAGTGATTCTGTTTCCTTTAGAAAGTGTCAAAGCCCATGTATTAACAAGAAGAACATCGTGTTTGCAGACTTTATCGAAGGTAATTAACGTCCAAGATTCCACGATATGATGACTAACTTTTTTGTTCTTTTACGACTAAAAGTCGAAAGGTTGGTTATCTATTTATTTAGCAAAGAGTGAAGTTTAACGCGAAAAAGTAAGCTATAAGGGTCGTTTGCTTTTTATTTAAATCGAGACCTATTACTTCATAATTACCTAACGTAGCAATGCTATTGTTGTACAAATTTTATAATTACACTATACTAATTGTTGACCGGAATTATACTCTCAGTTATGAATTGCCATACTTTTCTTATTTGTGTCTCTCGCAGGATTCTACGTTATAAATAGAAAATTAAATATTACTGAACATAGGCTATATCGTTATAAATATTGATGGTTCATATATATATTAAAATTATTAATTTTAGCCGTGATCAATTTGTGATTTGTTGTACCGAAAGTGAATATTAGTATTAATTTTTTTTAGAAAAAAAGAAAAAGACATCAAATAAGCTTTATGATTCAATCAAATATATTTACAAGATAAATAAATACTGTAACGATTCAATCATTGATTTATTTTACTATTAAAAAAATGGATATTTTCGGACCTTGAATTCAACTAAGCATTATTAAATAAATTTAAATAGAACGGTGATTTGAATATTTAATTTTCCTTCTCGTAGAATGGTTTGCTTCCTTTCCAATCGTCTGCAAGTATATACATTGCGTCATGTGACAAAGAGGACACAGTTATTCCTTCAATTTAAAATCTTTTCATGCAATCACCCAGCCTTAATATTTTAAAGAATTGCCGCAGTAGAATTTTAGATCAAACATTTTAAATATACCGGTACTTGTAATTAAGAATTAGTTTAGATTCACTTCTATTATTGCAGAGCACCGGATGAGTCAGTAAAAGTTGGATCCTTTGTATTTTTATAAGAAAATCTTGACCTTGTCTATTCTTATTATAAATTATTAAGTTGTCCAAATCTTATCGCCTAATTATCTCTACGAAATTAGGAGATAACAATATTTCTTAATTATTGTATTTATTAGAACGAACGAACGAGCTTGAACTTCTTTCATTTAATTCTCATTTTATCTTTCTTCTTTTTATATAATAAAAGAGATAAATTACCACATCACAAATTGCAGTTGTCTATTTTTAATAGCGATTTCACTTTTTCGATCAATATTGAACGTCTCCCTAGTTAATCTTTCCACTTTATCACCAAAAGATCTTCACAATCATAATTCTATCGTCACCACTATCATAAATTTGGTTTAGAATAACACGAAAGTATTGGTAAAGTAATAGTATTCATCTGTTTATGCAGATTATTTGATGATTGATATTTTTCGTTAGAGGGTTAAAATCAAATTATGATTGTGAATGCTGAACCACTACAGAAAACATGATTCTTGTACATCAAAAGCAACATGGATTAATGAAAAATCTTGTCTAACCAAATTTATTAAAAATACTGTTGAATCTTTACCTCCTTCAAGAATAGAACTACAAAATCTTCTACATCAGATGGCCTCTAACTATTCTAACTATTAGTATTTGTCGTAGTAATGCAAGTATCCTGACAAGCCACAGCACTTCTGACATCAATGAAAAATTGGCGACAAACACCACCTCAAATAACGACAATTTCCTACGCCTTAATCGTCTTTCCATCATCATCATCATCATCATCATCTTCACATATAACGAAATCTACTGCTCAGAATGAAACTTTGAAAACAGCGGCGTCAAAATCTTCAAAAGCACTAACAAACAATTTGCTCCAATTAAAATATCACTTCATACAATCGAGAATTATTTTCAGGAAATGAATTATTACAAGTAGCTGAATTTTTACCAGATATATTTAAAATCGTTATCGTACTATTCTATCTCTGAAATATTTCTGTTGCACAAAATTTATGAAAGTATATAATAAAAATAGACAAATACAGTAAAGCATCCAAAAAATCGATAATGTGAATATTTAAATTAGTGAGTGTATTTAACAAATTCAATTAATAAACTTTTTTTTATTATTTTTAAAAACTTTATGAATAATCTATATCTATAATATAAAAAAAAATCCATGTCGATCGGTAACGTTTAGTTTACCTGTATAAAAAATTTTGAATTGTGTAACCTTGTGAGTAACGAATTGTACTGAAATAAGTTTACAATTTTGGTATAGTGATGATCGGATTACATTTTTTCCTTTCGTAATGAGACCACGAACGAAGGTTTCTGAATAACAAATAATTCTTTTTTCACATTAATTAAAGAATGGTAAATTTATCTTTATTCTTAAAATTAAAATAATTAAGCTAATTTATTACGTAGTAACTAAAATTAGTTAGTGCAAATAATTATTTAATTAACAACAAGTTATATATCTTATCATTATATCTAAAATACAATCGAAATTTGTTTCAATATTAAATAGATCATCTCATTTTTAACAATAAAATAAAATTGAATTTCTCTTATTATTAAAATTTTTCGATTGTTTACTTAATATTTATTTTACAACCTTTTTTATTTAATTTTCCAATTTTTTAGTTGTTTTTTTTTCAAATTTGGTCTTTATTATCAAAAAAATACAAAAAAAAAGTTTAAAAAATATATATATGATTATTCCCAAGTTTTTTTCAAATAAAATAAAAAATGCCATTGTCAGTAACCATATTGTGCCAGATAGAATCCAAGAGGTTGGATTGATCAATGGATCGGCAAGTTACAAGATTTCTCAAAGCACGTCAAAAAAATTTTTACTATGGATTCTAAATAAAACAAATCTCTTCAGTTTTGCATTTAGAAATTAATGATTTTGCATTAATGTGTGAAAGATGTGTTTTTGACAAGGAAAATATGCATGTGATATATATTAATTAGTTTATTATATATAATTATACATTTTATCTCTTACCCATTAAATTAAACACTTTTTATATTTATTATTACTTAATCTATTCTAGTAACCTGCTGCAGCGCAGCAGGCACCAACTAGTTTATTAACCAAAAAAGTCCTTGGTAACGCTGCTCCACATAAATTATAGAGAAAATCGAAATAATTCCCAAAATTTTTTAAAAAAAAAAAAAAATATCGAATTAATGAATGATAAATTCAGATTGAATATTTTAGTAGTATATCTAATTATTATCTGCAATGACTATCACATTTAGTATCAAACCATTCTCCATCTGTTGGAGGGGCACAATTGTAAGAGTTGCAACCTTCTGGAAATGCATCACATCGGATAGTCGATTCATTTACGCAATCTCCTGAATTTATACTCCAACCGTTTACATTATTTTGACAGTAATCATAGTGCCAGTAATCAGCATAGTTAACAAATTTCTCAATTGCTTCCATGACATCGGATTTATAATTAACACCACCGAATACACATTTGTTGTAATGTACTAGATGATCACAGTCAAATCTACCACGTACAAGGCAAGTATACCCCCCGTTTAAATCAACATAAGCTTGTGCCAAGCAGCATTGACCACAGATATCTTGATTTACGTGGTTGCAATAGGTAAAGCCATAATGATTGAGGATATTGCTTGCTACTGCTGCATTAAGAGTAGGTTGTGCAAAGTTCCTAACATCTGGACTACTAAAATGAACTAATTCAATGGGCTGATATATAGGTGCTGCAAGCCAATAAGATGAAGGTGTGAATACACCAATATCTCCATTAACCATATTGGGTAATTTACCAATAATACTTTTCAAATAAGAATCTTTATCTTGATCAAAATTTTTAAAAGCATTTTTCATTGTACCAGTGGCATCAAAAGGCACTTTATGGTAAAAATCTGTTGTTGATACAGTTCGTTCTAATGAGGCTCCATTTTTATCAAGAAAAGTTGGTTGATCTATTAAAAGAAAAAAAAATTTTTTGAGAATATATTTTTTTTTTTTTTAAAAAAAAAATACCATCTACTTGATAACATATACTACATACCAGAAACCGAGTCAACAAAGATTGTTCCTACTTTGAGATAATTCAATTTAAAATGATCAGTTAATAACTGTAGTGTGCCAGAAAGATCATAAGAAATCGAGTTATCCGGTGCATGATTATAATATGGAGAAAAATCAGTTAGGTGATTAATGATATTTTCAGAAATGTTATTAAGTGAATATTGAATTCCTAGGTAGTGGTTCTGATAAAAGGTAAAAGCATTATCAACTGTTGCAGCCATAGATAAAGCAGCAGGTTTTTGTTCCTGCAATGGCCATCGAGACCCATCATTTTCAAAATTAAAGAAAGTTGTAGGATCATACATTTTATCAGAATAAAAGCGGAGACAATTATAACTATTTTTAACATCTTTGCCAGTTATTGCGGTGTTGTTGTCTATGTTGTAATTATTTTTACAATAATGCATAGCAAGGTTAAAGGAAAAAGTATAATCTGGATTAGGAGTACTTCCAACACTCAAAACTTTGGTGTTTAGATCAACGGACCACGTGGTTTTGTCGTTCGCACAGGTATAAGGAAGCTGTTTACTAGCAACTGGCGTAACTGTCACTGTCTTTGTAGAATTATCTACTTTTAGGTCAAATGACCAACCACAATTTTTTTGACACCCGTACATAGTGACATTGAGTAAAAACCCATTTGAGGTTTGATTATGGGATGTTATTTTCTTGACCTTTGTAGAATTTGTATAAAAATGAGCGTCGTGCTCGTTGATGTGGATTACATCATCGGTAAAAGTGATTTCGCATATTTCATAGGATAAACCTACGGTAACCCAAGCATGAACCGATGAAACAATGGTTAAAATCAGAAACGTCAGTGTTATGAATGTTTTACTCTGCATTTTTTTAACAAATGGATTTGAATATATTGAACGAAAAAAATCTCTTGAATAATTACATTTATTTATACTTGTTTCGAGATCGACAAGATAGTTAATAGTCGGAAATGTTTATGTATTCCAGAGCAGATATCTCTTTTTATTCCTTTTTACTTTATTATATTTTTAAAACTTTACATTTCACTCTTGCATTGTCAGACATTGTTATAATTTAAAAAGAAGAAAAAATTATTAATTTTCGATTCATTAATTTACGTGCCTGTACATGAGTGTTACACAAGCCTGTTTAGAGATTGGTTAATTAAAGCGGTTAACATATTAACCGGTTATTTAACCGGTTAAAGAATTATTGGCCGATTCTAAATCCTTTCATAGTAATACTATATTTAATTTACGTTGCATTACGAAAATTTAATATCATAGTAAACCAAGTTAGTAACTAATTTATAAATTTAAATTTAAATTCATAATCAAGAAAATGACAAATTATCGTTCATTTAATAATTAGAAAATTTTTTGTTAGAATTAACTTCTCAATCCACATTTTATGAGGTAGAGGATTATCTTTTTCGTATCCGTGTTGTGACTGAAATTGATTTTCGTCTGAAGTTGGAATTCAGACGATCTTCGGGTGTCTGAAATTGAGTTTCCAAGTTCAGTTAATTGAAATTGGAATCTCAATTTCAGACACCCGAAGATCG